CTATGTGGTTTGTTTCTTCATATGTTTAATGTTATAGATGATAGTTGTAATATCTTGAAGTGTATTATTTTAATAATTTAGTGCAAGGTTTTTTTTTTTCTTCTAATAACTACTAAAGATTCTAAAATGTGGCATATGAGAGGAACCAGAATCCCTGCAAAGAAAAGGGAAAGCTTGGGTGCTTTTCATAGGTATTTCTATGTCTATGCATTAAATTAGAGGAAATTACCAGCAGAACAAGACAGACAAAAGAACAAAAAGAAAGTTATTTTTTGCCAGATCGTAATTTCACCCCATCTTCCCACACCTTTTGATTCTCGCCATGTGCAGTCTTCCTATGTGACAGTGTTATTTCACTCGACTTACCACCGGAGATGGCATCTCTCGACCTTTAATTAGAAGCCGGGGAAACTAAAGTCACATAAGCGTTATAGAGACACAGGAAGAAGGAGAATAAAGCACATATGTGCACTGATGATTGGCTAGTAAATGCTGTTATTGGTATTTTGTGCTGGGGTAAGGAAATGGAGCTTCTTGGAGGTCGATAGCTTTTGTCTTGCACAGGCTGTAGTTGTACAGGCCTTAACTTGTTTTATGCATCGGGCCAATTATAAAAGTGTGTAGGGGGTGGCAGGAACACAGGTGTTTGGGAGAAATTTCCATGCACTGTTTGAGTTTGCCTGGCAGCGCACACAGTAAATTGTAATTTTTCTTTGCTAAATGAGAAGGAAAACAATGTTTTGAATGTGCTCTGTTGGAAAAACTAAAACGTATATCAAAAGCGTTCAAATATATGCAGATCCTTTTTTTTTTCTTTTGTGAGAATGTATTCTAGACCTGTCTTCAAAGAGAATGTTAATTCATGAATGTATAAAAATATCAGTAATAAATCTACAAAATGACGCCTCCTTATATTGTAACCATACAGCGCCTGAGCTGTGTTTGAAGCTGGGCACTTTGTGACATTAGATATAGTCTATGAGTAATACGTCTGTCAGGGTAAAGGCATATGCTATTTCTTTTATTTAAACAGTTGGATTTTTTTGTGTCACTGTCTATAAACCTCCATTTACCATCTTCGGAGTAACATGATCATGTTTTACTTTAGCTGTTGATTAATAAATTACCTTAGTTATTTGGTGCCTCCCAGTGCCAACGTGTAATAGAACTTCTCCACAGCTGGCTGCAGTCCAAATCTCATAGAAACTCCCAAATTTGCGCAGAGAGTTGAGTTCTACAACATAAATCAGATTTTAAGTTTTATTGTTTTGAGTAGTGAATTTAAGAGAGATTCTAACAAAGGACTATCAATGCAAGCTCTGTTATTGCAAAATAGCATAAAACTGTTGTAGTAGTAGTATTTTAGCCACATCTCAAATATAGGCTTTTACATCGCTCTCTGTAACATTTCTGTGTTTTGGGTCCTTACAGACCTGAACCGTAGCAGTTTTATGGAGAGCGATTTAAAAGTCTGTATTTGAGATGTGGCTAAAACACTACTGCTACTCTGTGAATGGTTTTATGTTATTTTGCAATAAAAGTGCTGGAATTGGAAACCCTTTGTGCATATCTATTTTAGATTTACTGGATTCTGCCCTGTACCTGCTCATAGGGCCAGATCACTGCACCAGGCATATTCAGATTGAAGGTGTTCGAGCCACTATCCTTACTGATGAATGATGGTTGATGATGTATCTCCTTTAAACAGGCTTTTCTGGATTAATTCTTCATTGCTTAGTGTCTACTATCTAATATGGTGTACAAAATGGGCAATTTGAGATGGGTAGTTCTGTTGCTGGCAAAACTTCTGAGGCAAAATCACAGAAATTCGAATAATGTTATTTAAAAAATCACTAGTGATTTCTTTTGGGCAGGGAGGACCTCCATAGAAAAATGACTGTTATTTAATACAGTGTTTGCAATTTTAAGAGTTGGCAATTACAAGTATTGTGATTCCACTAAATCCCATTAAGTAGTAAGTGCAATAGAAATAAATCCACACTAGCATATATAGATAAACTATATTGTAGATGTTCCGCGTAAAGACTTATCCTTCTTTTGCTCTTTATCTGTATTTCTGGGGGAATATTAGTGGACCATAAGTGCCAACACAATACCAAATGGTGGGCAGAATGGGGTTACATGAAATTCAAATAAATTATAATTTACAAATTCAGGGTGGTGCAATGTAAGCAGTTACTAATTGTCTCCTTGGCCTGCTCCCACTACCCACCTCAATGTCACTAGTTTCTTCAGTTAGGTGTTTTAATACTTTATTTTCATGCTGCTATATAGGTCATATTCAAAATGTACATAGGATCTTTCTAGTCCGTTCCAGGGCATTCAAGTAAGTTATTAGAGAAACCAGAAAAAAGGCATCTACAATGGGCTGTGGATATTTGGCTGCCTAACAAACTGTGTATTACTTAGCAGTTGTTGTAAAAGCTAATAAAACCCCAACTGAAGTGCTGCCCCTATTAATCATATTGGAGCTTTGAGGACCATATAAACATGATGCATTGCTGTTAGCAACTCAAAATATTTGAAAGTGAACAGGCTATTGCCTGTTGTCACCCACTACTTTCTAAAGACAATGCTACATAAAGAAAAGAACAGTCAATAGGCGAGCTTCAAGACCATTTTGGGCTATGGAAATGCTGACTGAGCTCTTCATAGAACAAAAAAAGAATTCCTACATTAATATCTGTGGCTTTATAATTAGCACAACACTTTTTCAGGCTATTTCTTGTACAGTGGTGTGATTTTATGCCACACCAGTAACCATTTATAATCCACTGCAGCTACAGCACACACTGCTCTTCTAAAAATAGCTTACAGTAAGCACTGACACTTTGTTACATCATGTTGTTTTTATGGGAGAGGCAATGTGTAGATGTGTTTGGGAATAACTTTCTTGGAAAACAAGTAAGCAATGTGGGATTCCCAGATTTCCAGTTTTAAGATACTAAGGTAGGCTGGAGTATTATAGCAACAATTACTTAAACTGAAGTGGTAGGCAGTGCTCCTTTATCTTAAAATGTATTTTCACTTTTGCAGGCAAGTTAGGATAACACCTATTTTAAATCTGTTACATGTTCCCATTCGCAATAAAAGAATAAAAATTGCTGCTTACATATTAGATGATCTATTCTGGAAGAAATGTTTTTTTCCGTACTTAATTTCCCCCTGGAATGGTAGACAGGTTAATATTAACATAATTAACCCTGTCTGTACTTCATCAAACAACAAAGGGCAAAACATCTAGAAGCAATGAATGTTAATGAGAGGCAGCTCAGTCCGGTCCTTGCCTTTCTCAGGGAAAGATGCTTTATTTTATTCTCAAAGTGACCCTGTCATGGAAACTACATATTAAAACTCCAAATAGGATGTAAAAAAAAGAAGTGTATACTCACCTTTTTTTGGTGGCTGAAAGAAATGGTCTCCTGCAGCACTCTGGGAAATGAACACTTCTTGGAGTCCCTGGGTCCCCTACAGATTTCACTGGTTCCTCCTTCTGACCTCCACCCACTACATGATACAGCAGTGGTGTGGGGGTTAGCAGGAGAAACTATTGAGAGTGACATTCCAGTGGATTTTGGGGGACTATTTTGACTGAACAAAGCAGAATTGAGCAGCACGGAGATCGTGAAAGGTAAGTATAAACTCTCTTTTTTACTTTTACGGGTAACAAGATTTTTAAAGTGTATCTAACCACCAAAACAAACTACACACCAGAACTTTACAAGTCCTTAGATGTGGTGGCTGCATTAGTTTTCTTTTTTTCAGGCTTCATTCCTTTATTTTTAGCAATGAAGGAATGATACAATAGAGGGACATGGTTCAATAGTCTTCAGACATAGCTCAGAACAATTTAATTGATAACAGTCAGCACAGGTTAAGAGCACAAAAAGTTATAATTTAGCAAGATTTCTGGTAAGATCAGTTTTCAGAGATATATTGATAGACCAAAGAATCCAAATAAGAGAAGTTCATTGTTAGGTTTTACATACCCTTTAGTATTTATTCTCTGCTACAGGGTCACTTTAAATCTGCACTGGTAACATGACAGGTGGCCTCTTATTGGGCAACCTAGGCCCTTGACATTCTTCTGCCTTTTATATGCATTTTAAATGTAATCTTACTAAAGATGCGAATGCCATCATTGTAGCATTTTGCGCAGCAGTCATCTTGCCCAAAACAGTTGTGTTCTTTATTGACAGATGCCGATGGGTTGAATCACCCACATGCTTCATGTAACAGTAGAGTATTGAGATTTCCATGAATATCTGCCATTTGAGTACCTAACAAATTTAAATAACTCTGTGTTGTTCAGTCTGCCATCATCTTAGCCAAAACTTAAAAATCAATTTTGAGTGGACTGATCAATTAAGGGGAATGCATCCATTTTCAGGTAACTGTTGTATTAACTCCATGCTAATATGTGTCTAAAATAATGTTATCATTTTTTTCTCTCTTATTTACTGTTTGTAATGATGTTCCATATGTTTTTTCTAATCTACTATAGATTAGGATGTTACTAGCCCTGATTTTCTCACAACTAGATGGCCAAAATTTTTAAACAAAGAGTTGACTCTTTATGGCTCATATTGCATGCATTTATGTCTACACAATCATAGATAATAGATAGGGATCTGTTCCTAGAAATAACATATTCCTAGAATAACAGCCCTGCTACACACTTGGGCCAGTTGTTTCTATCCAAATGATTAATGCTTACTATTGCTTGTTTTATTCTTTCTCACTATGGTCTTAACTTTGCTGTTGTACGAAAAATGCACCTTTATTGCCTTTTACTTTGCTGTCAAATTATTTCTGTGTTCACTGTTTATAACACTGTTGCATTTTTAAAATGGCTGTTTTGCACATGTTTCAATGTTGGAATGATGGCAAGGGCTGGCAACCTGTTTGTTTGTCATTTGACAATTTTGTTTTGAGTGCACAATGCAAAACTCAAAGTGATGGGATCACTATGTCTCTAGGAATCCCAGATTATGGTTTCTATGCCTCGCCCGGTGACCAACGGGCTGCTTTATCGTTTGCGGATTACAGTTCCATGGGGCCTCGAGCGGCTCAGATGCTTCGTAGTGAGCATGCTGCTTCAGCAAGTAACTCCCCCCTCCATCACCTTCCCAGCCCGGATCAGTTTAAGAGCCCAGGTTTGTATAGCCTTTATTTATTGGGGTTAATGGGTAATAATCAATTGTTGTACAAGAAATGCTATATGAAATCCAGATTTTGCATGCTTGGTATCATTTATACATGCTGTATTTGTGATATAATCCTTTTCAGAATGTCATATGCAATCTATGAGTGAGCTCATTTCCATACGGTCATATGTGCATGAATTTTGCAAATTTATACATGCATGTAGACCATTTTATAATTCCAGGATCATATTTGCAAGTTGACTGTGACTGATCAATTGCAGAATTCCAGATTTATTTTCTTTTTTAACTAGTTACATGTTTCAGATGGTGTTTTACATTTTGTTGTCACTTGGTTTATGTTTTCAGGCTTAAGCTTTCATGCCAGCTGTCAGTCAACAGTTTTACTATATTTACCCTTCTAGTATGCAAACACAAATTTTTCTGTAGTTCTTAAAATGAAAACCTTGGCCTAGTAACTGACAGGTGTGTAAAATGCTTCAAAGAATTTCCGATTTTGTCTTTTAAACTCATTAATTTAAGTTTTTAATACTTGTTTATTTTGCTGTTTATTCCCCATTCAGGAGCATTTACCTAATTTTAATATCTTGTACTTAATTAAAAAAAAACAACAACATTTTTTAGACCTTCTGCTGATCATGTTGTCATGTTTAGGCCTGCTATGCTAAGCTTAGCTTTTCTTTAAGATTTAAAAAAAGATAAACTTTACTGACTGGCTTTGCCTAAATAGTTTGTTGTAAATACCCTGGAAATTATTAAGGGATATAGTTCTATCCCATTTTGAAGCCAAATCCTTCTGCCCCGCTATGCTCCTCAGTTGTCCCCCATTGTGTTCTAAAGTTTAGATCTCGCCATCAAATTATGCACTTTTTGTGTAAAAAGTAGGCATGAAAAAAAGCACTTTAACCAATAATTTGTACATAAGAATACTTCATGGTCCATGTAACTGGGGTAGTAGCAGTGTTTCAGGGGGTGTGTCCTTTCCAACACGCTTTGTACTGAAAGTTGTCCCTCTTTCTCATCTGTGCCAACATAGTAAGCATTACCTGGAGCTAAACAAAATGCTGTCAAGGGCAACCAGATTGATAAAGAGTCTGACAGGGTTATTCACAAAAGGGTGATGCATTTGGTGAAGGCAGGAGAAGTGAACAATCTAGGACAACATAGCTGAACTGGGAAGTGAGCTAAATTGGAGAACTTTTCCAAATCAGCTATGTTGGCCTAGATTGTTCACTTCTCCTGTCTTCTCTAAACTGTTCACCCTTTTGTGAATATTCATTAAAATCTCAGTCAGAAGGAAAATGTGAATTAGTAAAAAGAGTAAAAAGTTCCCCGAAAGTAAATAAAGCTAACTCACCTTTTCCTTCTGACTGAGATTAGTCACAGGGATATTTACAAAATGGTGAAGAGTTTGGAGAAGGCAGAAGAATTGACCAATCTAAGACAACATAGCTGAACTGGAAAGTGAGCTGAATTGGAGAATTTTTCCAGTTCAGCTATGTTGTCCTTGATTGTTCACTTCTCCTGACTTCTCCAAACTCTTCACCCTTGTGTGAATATCCCTGTGAGTAATCTCAGTGAGAAAGAAAAGGTGAGTTAGTTTTATTTACTTTAGGGGAACTTTTGACTAAGAGAATGTCATTATTTTTTAGAAACCTATCTCTAATATTTTTAGTTTAAATGCAGCATCATTTGTTGCATTCAAAAATAATTTGAACATTTTTGTTGCTTCTTTTAAGAATTTTAAATTTCCTCTTTAAAGGAATTTAACACTGCTATAGAAACAAACACAAGAAAAATGCCATAACAACTACAATATATCAAATTAAGGTTTATCTCTAAATGTTAGTCTTACTGTCGAAATTTAGAAGTCTGTGAGATAAACTGTCCTAAACAAATTATACCGTATCAGTGTTAGGAGATATATATTGTAGTGCATTCCAAGAATTCTGTAACAACGGATACACTAGAGCACTATATTAAGGCCTGGTTCACACATGGGCGTTTTACAGTGCGTTCCTACACGCTGTAAAACGCTCAACATGTGAAAATGAATGATTGCCTATGGGCATGGTTCCCACCTGGGCGTTTTACAGCGCGTAGGAACGCGCTGCAAAACGCCCACTGCCCACAGAAGTACAGGAGCTTCTTGGGGGCGTTTTGCCGCACGTTTCCATTGGTATTCCCTAATGTGGATCGGGGTTAACAAAGTGGTAACTCCGAGCCACACTCGGGAATACAGCGGAGGTCTTACCTTGTCCGCGATCCCCGCTGTGTCCTTCGGCGGCTGCCGACTTCCGGGTCCCGTCCCTTGCGAGCGGCCGCGTCGCAGGGGGGCTGAGCCGTCGGCAAGTTTAAAAGTGAAACTAAAAAAAACATTTAAAATAGAGAAAATAAAGGGAAAAAAACAAAAAAAAATCATACCGCCAGTAAAACGCGCGTTTCAATGAACAGAAAAACACGAAAAAAAACATGCTGAAAAAACCTGCTCAGGTGTGAACCCAGCCTAAATCAACACAGTTTATAGAGGCTATCTAGCAGACTGGAGACACCTAAAAGAGTAGCATTTGACTGGCCAAGTTACTACATCTATAATTGGATTTGTTTTCCACTAAGCTATGTGTCATATAACCACTTCAATGGGTCCCATAAAGGTGATCATGCACAGCAACACAAACTGTGTTTTGGCAATATGTTATGATATCATGATGTACAATTTCCATGTTTGGTTATGCCTATTTCAGCAGTGTTAAATTTTAGCCCAATCAAGGCAGTGTCCAAACGGCCTGGAATCACATGATAAACCAAATATATATATATTTTTTATATAGCTATATATACACGTGTACCACCCTCTGCTGAGTTTAGTGTAGTATTTGGTAAGGTGAAGCAATGGTCTCCCCCTTGACCTTCTTCCCATACCATCAGTTTAGCTATATTCGGTAATCTAAACTCAAATGCAAAAATGTTATATATTGCAGCTTACCAATCCTTAAATGTGTTTGCTGCATTTGTTTTCATTTTATTCTTTCATTTTTGATTTATTTCATTTTTTCTTTATTTTCACCTGGTGAGCATGCAAGTTTGTTATTTTTCAACTTCCTTTAACAAATCAAACTGTCAAGAAAAAGTGACAGAGGGTTGAGACAAAGCATTTAATACTGGCAGGGGTACTTACAATGGTCAGCTTTTATTAATCCATCTAAAACAGTTATCTGGATAACAAAAAAACTGTTTAAAAAGTGTTAGCTGGAATTCATCTTTAATTTGTTAGTTCCCTGTATGCATTTTGCAGTCTTGCCTGATAAAAATATAAATTAATGTGCATTTTACTGGGTTACCATCCATTTATATGCATTCCACAAATGCACACTGAGGCAGTAAAATCCCAACAGGTCAGATTTTCCATAACTCATTTAGAGATAGAAACAGATTTAATTTGTGTACTTCTATGTTTACTGTAGACTGGTGTAAATGAGCCCCTGGTATCAGCCTCTTTTGATCCTGTGGACAGCAGTACTCAGATTTAGAGAGGGAGGCCATTGAGGATGCTACATGCACATGTGCTGTCAAGGAATACACTGACATTCAGAGTGAGCAAATCTATCTATCTATCTATCTATCTATCTATCTATCTATCTATCTATCTATCTATCTACATACATTACTCATGTAATAAACTCTTCAATTTCACAGTATATCTACCATGGCTATGCTTCTTATTAAATATGATACAAGGTCATGCTGGTTATACTACATATGTAACACAGGAACTGCTTTCATGAACACCTACACACTGCAATATACTACATCTGCAATACTTTCATGTAATATATTGTATAGTCAGGGCCAAGGGTAGGGGGCAGGAGGGGTAGCTGTGACTAAATTCTATTTTGACTTAAATAAATATATTTTATTTATAAATGTTTTAAATCATGTCTTGTCACTGTAGGTGCAGTTTGGCATCTTCGTCCTGGGCACTGGGTGAATTTGTCCTCGGAACTGGTTCAGGGGGTGTATAATGGGAGCTGTATTCTTCAGGTTATGCAGCTCTATGTACAGTTATCACTTCCTGCATTATCCATTTACAATATGTGTGTGTTCTTTTGGGCACACATGTTAGTTTCTGTGTGTTAGTTGTTCCTGTATTTTTTTTAACATGGGCTCTTATAAATGTAGTTCCATAGAAATGACAGCAGTCATTTGATTAAATCACTTCTTCCATTCACTCTGCTGTAATGTGATAGGTTTATTATCTAAAATCATCTCTTCACTACCTCCTACAGGTAGAACTTCCAACCCTGTTATTTGTTTGCTTAATGCATTGACTAGAGCATCAACCACTCCCATGGGAAATGTATAATATAATGAATGTGTAGGAGTGATTTTGTCACAGACATAATTTCCGCATTCAGCTCTGTGATCACAGCAAATGAATACAGCATTATATGAGCATTCAATGAACTAAAATGACTTGACTCTGTTATCACTTACTTTAAATTATGAGGTTTGACTATAAACACACTTTCCAGCATAATTTTATTCATAGCTTGACATTTTACTCTTACAAGTCTTTTACTTACATTTTTTTTAAATGAACACACATTTCATATGACTTATTTTCTAGTAGAAATATTGTTATTGATTTGCTTTAGCAATCTTGGGACAATATAGTGCATTTGAATGTAGTTTATAGCTTCAGCAAATCGCAGAAAAAGACACTTGTACTTTGAGTATATTTCACTTATATTGGTGCATTTTACATAAGTTTGACATTTTATTCTGCAAGAGTTGTCATTTTTGTATATTTCTTTTATGCTGTAGCTTTCAGCAACTTGTCAGATATTAGCTTGTATTGGTCTAAAGGTAACCACACACAAAAGCATCTTATCATTCTGTTAGGCAGGATCAAGCCCTGATGATATCTTTTTCTTGCACCCCAGATGCACATCCACTGAATAGTATATGTTTACTGTGCTCCCCATAGATCTGTACAGGGCCAATATGTACTTGATGACTGCTACAGTGGTCAGCTGTAATTGCTCATAATATGCAGGGGGCAGTAAGATATTACTAGGATAGTCAAAGCTTTTGTAACAGACAATAGGAATGCAGTAATCACTAGGAGCATGTCAAATGCATGTGAGAAGAATGTCAACTACAAGTCAAACGCACCTATAAGTGAATTCTGAATGATCTCAGGAGTGTCTCAAACTGATGTCAAACTGATGCCATTGACACAAGCCCATATGTTTGGTAGTTCTGGGTCTGTGACTTGTATTGAATCCAAGGACAGCAAGACAGCTTGTACTCCTAGAAGGAGGTCAGTGTTGGTAACTCACATATTTTTCCCATTGCAGATTTCCTTAAAATAATTACAATAAGGGCTTGGTGTAATGGCATCAGTTAGACTCAGTTGCTTCTGAGATCTTTTAAAATGTATTGACAAGTGCATTTGACCTGCAGTTGAGCTCATTCTATACTGCTGTTGACCTGCTTCAAGCGGGTTTGCAATCCTATGTACTTGTATAAGGATGCATAAACTTATTTGAAGGGAACAAAGGCCTATTGACAAAGGCACTTAGGAGGTCTTATCTGCACACTTGGTGATTTTTCGAGTTTAAAGCATTTATCATTCTGAGTGCATTAAATATAGTACAGTGAATGTGCAGGCTTAATTTCTCACCTTTATATAATCACTTTTTTTAGCACAATTGTTTGTTTATACTTTTGAATACCAGTTTCCACATAGTTCCATGTCCATGTGCACTTGTATATTGACTTTGTTCATTATCAAAAGAAAAAGAGGAAAGGAAAAATCTTAGCCCATGCAAAAGCACTAGTTAAGATCATCTCATTATTATTATTTGTCTCTAATTGCCCTTGTGTGCATACAATCCCGACAGCCCGGAGAACTGGTGGGTGTTTATTTACTGTCTGCTTTCGAACTTCTAATTCCCAACTTTTCCCCTCCCTCTACAAATGGGTGGCAGCTGTATTGAGCTACAGTGTTTACGTGTTTGATACACACACACACAATTTGATAATTGCAGACAATTGTAGTTGTATTTTAAATGTGAATTCCTATACTATGTAGCAGGTTAAAATAGCGAACAGGTTATTGGTTGGTAACTCTTCCAGCATTATTGTAATTGATACTTTAACTTTCTGCTGGTTAAAACAGTTTTTAAAGCAGTAGTAAACTCTGAAACAAATATATATTGCTCAACAAAGTATTTATTTAATCTTTTGCCCAAGCACTTACAGTCATCATGTTTCCCAATGGCTGACTTTGATTCTTTTAGCTCCAACTTCCTGTCCAGTCCAAGGTCACAAGGGACAGTGCAGTCTACAGCAGCTGTCAATGTGCTAGCTCAAATAATGAAGGAAGAAGCAGAGGGAGGGAAGTGGCTTGCATTGCTGTGTTTTTATGTTGGTGGAGTCACACACAGCTTACTAGCACACTCCATAGGACTCTGCAAGATAAAGGTGCCACCATAAAACAGGATATCAGGGCCAGAGCTCAGGGGACCTATTGATTCTGCAGGAAGCTAACACTTTTAACATCAAGGAGCAGAATCAATTGAAGGTGATGTAATCAACATTTGAAATAGCCTGAATAGCGCTGACAAACGGGTTTTAGATCCAATTACCCCTAGCTGGCAGGAACAAAAAAGTGTTAAACAAGGCCTAACCCTCTCTATAAAAGCCCCTCCTCCTGCTGACTTCCCCAGTCTTTTTGTTCCTGTCCCCCCTAGGACAGGGTTGTTTGTATGTTACTAAAAAGTATTCTTTATTTGCCAACTGATTGATTTCTTATGGCCTTAGGGGAGTTCAGCATCTCTCCCCTGGGAAGTCTCCAAGAATCGGCCCCGTGCAAGGGTGTCCCCTTGGGGAAGGACAAACTTTGTTTCCACGAGAGGAAGCCGGATTTTCCATATAATGTGCAGCCTGTCAGACAGGGAGGGTAAGACTGTTGTGGTTTCACTTACCTGCTCTGCTGTATGATGTCGTTTTCATCCCGGCTGGCTCCCCGCGGTCTTGTCTGTTTGCGATGTGTGGGCAAGACAGGATGGGCAGTAGCGGCTTCAGCTGGCATCTGCGCATTGCGCGGTAGTTCCGTAGTGCGTGACGTCACCGGAGATTCAGTGCCGAATTTGAATTTGTAAGCCATTTACAGGGAAGTGAAGCTGAATTTTTTTCTGTTGGTTTATCCCCCTTTGGATACCCCTGGAGTGACCTATAAGATCGGGATATCATGGACGATTGCCCCTCACCACACCGGTCTGTGGAGATAAGGTAAGGGCAGAGAAAAAAAAAGAGTGCATTTTATTTTTCTGACAGTCAAATCACTTTTATGTTGAGCCCCGCAGAAATTGAATCTTCTTCATCCTCAGTGAAAAGGAGAGATAAATCTACAAGATGTCAGGCTTGTGATGACAAGGCCATGACAGGGGAGAAAAGATTGTGGGGATAGTGCCTTAAAGAGGCAGCAATCACTTCCAATTCTCCCGACATCCTGGATCTTATCCAATGGGCAATAGCCAGAGGGGTGAGGCAAGCTGGCCATTCCCATGAAAGAAAGAGAGCAAACAGTTCCTGATTTGCATTGTCAGATGCATGAAAGGGCAAGAGGAAGTTCTGTCCCCCTCAAGCATACACTTGACGAGGCAGAGACGGAATGAATCTTCCTTTCCTGTGAGTAAGATCACAAAGAAACTCATGAAAGAGGGCTTGTTCACACGATGTCCGGAATCTGTCCAGACCAGAACAGTTCGCTCCTGCACTAAAAACATATCACAATGTATCCCTATGTGTTTTAGGGGCTCCAGTTCACACGAGCGCAGTGCTTTCTGTTCTGGACAGAAAAAATACAGCATGTCACATTTTCTCTGGTCTGGAACGCGTCAAAGAGGCAACAAAAATGCGCTGGAAACGCACTGCACTAACTGAAAAAAAAACTGGAACGTGTCCGGAATGCGGTAAAAACGCATCAAATACGTCAAAAAATGCGCTGCACACATTGCACAGCATCTGCAGATCTGCTCTAGATCTGGACCAGAAAATGGTGTGAACAAGCCCTAAAACCTATACTGTGTTAGGCATGGGCCTTCAGACAGAAGTGGCCTTATTTTCAGTATCAAGAACTTCTAAATTGTGGATAGAAGATCTGGAAGATAATATTAAGAGGGGAGTGAGTGGTCACAGTCTCCTGGATAGGATACACGATATGAACATTAGGCACCTGATTTCGCTACGGGAGCCACAGATGATCTGCTCAAAATCCGTGTCCAAGGGTATGGTATCCTCTGTAGTAGCCCGCCGGGCACTGTGGCTCAGACCATGGGGAGCCGATTCTTCCTCAAATAGCAGCCTATATTCCCTGGCATTCCAAGGCGATATGCTTTTTGGGCCTGAAATTGGATAGCTATATTAAAGGCTATCGATAGCATTAAAGATGTGTTACCTCAGGAGAGGAGAAACCAGAGAAGCTATAGAGATGGCAGGATTCGCCAAAATTATACTACTTTTCATGACTCCAGGACCTACAAACGAAGAGAATCTACTGGATCAATGAAGGTGTCGGTCCAAGAGATGTGAGAGTCGGGGCGAGACTATAACTATTCTCAGATCTCTAGGCAGAATCAATAGCAGACGCTTGGGTACTGAAGATAATCGCCGAGGGATACAAATTGGGGGTCGGATCTTTTCACCAAAAAGGCAGGTTCATAATGACCAAACTCCCAAGGGATTTGATGAAGAAACGGGCTATGTTTGACTTTGGGGGTTCACTTCTATCCCAAGATGTCATAACTGTGGTACCCGAGCAGCAAGAGTTACAGGGGTTCTATCCCATTTGTTCCTAACTCCTGAAGCAAAAGGAGGTTGGAGGCCAGTCTTGGACTTATACCAGCTTAACCGATTCATCCGCATCCGGAAGTTCAGAATGGAGTCCCTCCAAACGATCATACAAATGGTACATCCAGGGATGTGTATGGTATCCATAGATCTGACGGATGCGTACTTCCATGTTCCCATTGCTCCAGATCACCAGAAGTTCCTAAGAATTGGTATCAGTCAAAGGCATTCTCCATTCAGGGCAATGCCATTCGGGCTCAGCACCGCCCCCAGGACTTTTTTCGAAAATTCTGGTTACCGTTGTAGCAGAGATACTGAAACAGGATGTGACCGTTTTCCATTATCTGGACAATATCCTAATCCTGGCAGATTTGGAAAAAGAGGTGATCTCCAGCAGAAATATCAGCATAGACACCCTGCAGAGATATGGATGGTTACTGACCATGGAGAAGAGCAATCTGACGCCGACTCAAGAGATGGTAGCGGCATTCAATAGAAATCTAGCCTCGGTTCAACTGTCCAAGGACAGAGTTCTCAAAATGAAACCGGAGGTGGGCACAATGCAGACAAGCAAGCATGTAACAGCCGAGGGGTTCATGTGCCTATTGGGTTCCATGTCATCAACCATAGGCCTTACTCGGTGAGCCCAATGGTATATGAGACCGGCAGAGTTGTTTTTTCCCAACAGTGCAGGTATCGGAACTAGAGGCAGGGGGTCGCCATTTCCTGCAAGATCAAGATATCCCGGCAATGGTGGTCTCATGACAAAAACCTGCGCAAGGGGTTTTCCATTAGGAAACATCCCGTGGGTCACCATTAAGACCGACGCAAGCGGATTGGGTTGGAGAGCTCACCTGGACAACCTATTCGCACAGAGGGTTATGGACGGAGAAAGGGAGGAACACTTCATCCAATCTACTAGAGCTGAAGGCAGTATTCCAGGCACTCCAGTATTTACAAGAACAAATACAGGAAATTAATCTTCGACAGACTTGTAGGAAGATGAGGCAATCCTCAGGTGGATCTAAGGGCATCTCACAAGAATTGCCATGTCGGCCGATCTCTGTCAAGAATATTCGATCACAGAGCGAAAGGCCTGGGCGTTCTTTCACATCCATGGAATTACAAACTAGCTTATGTCTTTCCCCCCTTTACCATGATCATGGCAGTCCTTCAAAGGATGTGGCGGGAGATGGTGGTGGTTATTGCTGTTATCCCACATTGGCCAAGACGGCCATGGTTCCCTCTCCTGATATCCCTCAGCATTCAGGAATCGGGGCAGATCCCAGTGACGTCGGATCTCCTATCTCAAGGGCCGATCCAGCACCCGCATCCTCAGCACCTCCGTCTGATGGCATGGCTGTTGAAAGGGAAAGGCTGAAAAAGTCTGAATTGTCACAGGAAGTTTTTGTTATCCCGGAAGGTGTCCACTTCCTCGGTATGTTATAGCATGTGGATGGTGTTTTCCACATGGGCAATAGACCACGGCATTGACCTTTTCTCAAGTCTCATCTAAGGCGATCCTGGGGTTCCTCCACACAGGTCTGGACAGAAGGATGAGCCTTAGTTCCCTCAAGGTGCAGGTGTCGGCTATATCAGCCATCACTGGGATCAGGTGGACTCAGAATCAGAGTGTTTCCAGGTTTC